AATGTAACATAGAACCACTACTGCCTCTCATGGCATTACCATTTTAAACAACACACTCACATATTTATATAACCACTAATTTCTTGCGATACCACAGATCCTTTCTCATGTGTAGCGAGTAAAAGCCACCAAGTAACCGCTAAGGTCCTCTATACTACTTGTGCAAACTTTCAGGCCCAAACCTCTTACAGGAACGAGCCCAGAATAAACGGGACAAGAGGGTCAATATCAGTCAGATATGTTAAAATTGATTATTTTAAAAGAAAACACAAAGGTTTGCAAAAGGCCTAAAACATCAAAATGGAAAAGGTCACTAACGACCACAAGATAGTCTTATTGGTGCAACCTGCCAGCAATGCAACTATCACCTGAGGGCTTGCTTTCCCTCGGCAGTCCCAGATGCTAGTTGCTTTAAAAGAAACAAATCCACCCCAAATAAATACGAGCCCAACAGAACACTTATCGCATGCACTAAGTGTTTTAGTTCAGGCAATAATCGGTGGCACTAAAATCACTCTTAATAAAACTTATTCACCGCAAATCCGCATGGAGGACCTCTAAAAGACTTCCCTAAGGTAAAACAATGGCTGAGTGTAAATGGAGTCATGTGCGGACGTATTTTACCTCCACAAACAGCTGAGACGTGGTTTGCGATACATGTGGCAACAAAAGTGAGGTGTTGTGGCCATACATGCCAACCTTGAGACCTCAGAATTAGGGAGACATTCAAAAGGGTTGTTGGGGGGGGTGATAAATACATTTTACAGTGTTTATTTATCGGATAAAATACGTTAAATGTCACCGTTATTATTGGCCGGCCCGGAAACAGCGGGGGTGTCCAAATTCAGAGGCTGCTTCCACCTGAGGACCCGGCCTTCGCGGTCTAAAGGAAGCTGGGTAGTACGGCACGAGCTCCCTTGGTGGAGGGAAACTCTGCCGTCTGCTCCTTGCTATCTAAAATATAACCAGACGCTGCCGTAAACTCTCGACCGTCTCACACTTTCTTTAATCAGTTTTCTGTTTGACATTTATTCAGCTGTGTGAAAACCCCGCAGGAACCCTCCTGATGGATTAATAAAGTTAAATTTAATCTAATCTAATAACTTTAATCTCAGCCAAACTGATTTACTCACGAACAAATAAAACACTAAAAAAGTCAAACAATAACATTTTTAAGTTATCAAAGTGACTTATATATCATGTTTAACCTGAGTAGTGAAAGACCGCAGGGGTTTGAAGACGATGTGTCGGTCGGCTCAGATATTTGAAGTTTACACAGCTACATTCTCACCTGAAAATATGTTAAAAGTTTTTTTGCGACCCAGAAAGAGAAATAAGAGTAATATTAAAACTAAGTCGCTGCCGTCATTGTTGGAAACTGGAATTGGCCGTGCTATGAATTCTGTGACATGGTTTTTCAATTTTGTTGTCTGGGTGGAAAATCGGGAGATTTTCGGGAGGGGCACTGAAATTCAGTGTTCTCCTGGAGAAATCGGGAGGGTTGGCATGTATGGTTGTGGCAACATCACTAACCTTGTCAAACACCTCAGAGTAAATCATGACACAGAATATGACAAGCGTATGTTGAGATGAACTGAAGAGGAGGACAGGGACTTAACTAAGCAAACTTACTTACAAACGTAGCACTACAAAAGTAGACCATTTTGGCCGGTTTTGGAGCAGTCTGGGGGGATGGTGACCTTTGAATGACCTATAAAATAATGTTTAATATCTCAGAAACTGTAGCAGCACAAACGCTCATTTTACCTGCACAAATCTGCACAAACGTAGCACTAACCGCTCCGCCTATTTGCCTTTACGTTTCAAGTGGGTGGGGGGTCAGCTTCACTCTGCTCAGATTTTTCAAACTCGAGGAGTAGACGTGAAACGCGCGTATGCACAAAATGCAACACAAAAACTGACACGCGTGGTTTTATTCGCGAGCCAAACGCGTTTTTGCGACGCAAATCTGCTTCCCAATTTTCACGGGACCCGCAATCGCGGATCATCGCGCTCCTACATTTACTTTACATGTAAACAAAACACAAGAAACAAAAGATGCTGGGGGCTGGGTTTGAGGTTATGACTATTGTTGTCATTATTTATGTGCCTCAATAATTCTATGCTTTTTATTAATAAGTGTTATAAAGTTATATAGTGTAGTGTTAAGTGGACACAGCCCTGAAAAATAAAGGAGACCATGTGTCCTTGAGAAGTAGAAAGCTGCAGACTCTCGCTCATGCTTGCCTGGGAAAATATAGATAAGAGGGAACATTGTCTGTGGAAATTTACTGGAATGCTGTTGTTTAGACTAAAATGAGAGAGCTTCTCTAATAAAACTGTCAGGGGCACACCACAATTTTCAAAAATCCGCGGCAGCGTGTCGTGCAGGACGCATCTCCCTTCTAGAAGTAATAAAGTCTTAAATGGTCTACTGAGCAGTGTTTTGTCTCCTATTGGATGCCTCTGAGGAATCAAAAGAACTCGGTGAAGTGTTGATATTTATACTATCTCAGCAGAAGTTTTCTACTTATGCCCAAAAATTTCTTCCTGTTAAAAAGGAGTTTTTCCTTCCCGCAGTGCTCTACCTTTACAATATAAAAAGCTGTTATGCCATATCATATATCAGTAAAATTTAATTTAACAGAGAGACTGGAACAAAAAGCTTTGGTCACACATCTGGACTTTGTGTGAAGCCACGAGAGGAAAGGATGTCGCGGTTTTCCAAGATCACATCCGAAGGCCTCGTCTTTTTAATGATGAGTTATCTCAACGTCATAGATCTGAATTCTACACGATTCTATGAGCAAGAAACGGTGCCCTTATACTGTTTGAGAGTTACAGAAATGTTTGTTCAGAAGAAATAAGAGTGCAAGCATTCCTGAACATGGTATTTGTTTATTTATATTTTGGGAATTCATTGAAAACAGATGAACAGATAGGATACAAACACAGTGAGTGGGAGGGGTCGCCCATCCTTCTACTCACTGATCACTAAATACTTTTTATTTATGCAAGCAACAAACAGCATTGTAACAGAGTATGTTAGAAATGACTGAACAGCAGCCAATAAGGAAAAAACTTAAACGCAAGATCCTAAAATTATTGTTATTATTATCAACATTGCTATAAGTTAACAAAACCCTGACAAACATCCAAAATTTAAGTCAGTACTTTCACGTCACTCACAGCAGAAGTTAGGTCCTCTCTGAGTCCTAATGACAAATCATTTACTGTATCAACAGTGAACACTTTGGTCGGTCATGTTTGGACCTCTAAAAAACTTTAATAAACACCTCGGTTTGTGTAAAACTTTGTTAACATCAAAGAAACTTTACAAAGTCTGCAGCATCTGCAACTTCAGCTGCCTCAAAACGAAGTTTTATTAATACAACAGCAACACAGTAATGATGTAGACCTGAAACAACTCGTATCCATGTTTCAAAGAAAAGTACATAGCAAGTGTCATATAATGAAAACCTCAAGAAAATGATGTGTTTGTCACAACAAAACTCAGACAGTAATAAACAAATAAAATATTCTTAGAAAGACAAAAATCGCTTAGTTTAAAAGAAATCAGTCGGTTGAAACAAACCTGCCATTTTTAACAATCTTATGTATGACATATAAAAGGCAACACTTTGGAAAGCTGTAGTTAAGTTGGTCAATGTATAACAATATTTATAGAATTATATAACATGAATTGCAAGTGCCTGTTTCTTTATATAGGACAGAGGTAGGAATTAGGAAGAATTCACTTCCTTTTCATCCTTTTTGAATCTGAAATGATTAAAAATGTTTTTGGAAAACATGTTAAAATAATTCACAGAGAAAATAAAATGGCTTCTTAAAACATATCAAAAAAATAAATAAATAAAACAACACACTAAAATAGAAATCAACGATAAAAATGATGGCACACACATTAACTAAAAAAAAAATCCATGCTAATGCTAGGAATGAGTTTTTTAATCAAATAAAATACCCAAAAACATCTTTTAGAACAAGCAAACAGGGAAGACGGAGTATGTTGACTTCACCATTGCTTAATGAAGGTTTGTTAACAGCATTTACACTTTCAGGTTGTCTCTTCAGTATGAGTACAACGATGACTTTGTACCCTTTTGAATTTTTTCCCGCACAGGGCACATTATTGCCGTTTCAATAGAGTGTACGTGTCGAGGTGACGCCTGAGGTTACATGACAGTGTGAAGGCTTTCCCACACTGGTCACATGTGAATGTTTTCTCTTCCTGTGGCAGCACTGGTGGGATTTCAAGTAGCTGGACCTTGAAAAAGTCTTTCCACACTCACCACAACTGTAGGCTCTCTCTGCACTGTGGACATGCTCGTGTGCTGAACAGGACAATAATGTGGAGAATGACTTCTCACAATGTTTGCACTTGTAGGGTTTCACTCCACAGTGGATCCTTTTATGATAATTAAATGCGCCACGAGAAGTGAAGACCTTCCCGCACTGCTCGCAGGAGAAAAGCATTTCTTTTGTGTGGATGTTCCTGTGAAACTTTAAAGCACCTAATTGAGTGAAACTCTTCCCACACTCCTCACAGCTGTACGGTCTCGTTCCAGTGTGGATGCGTTCATGTGCTGTGCGCTGAGTATGTGAAATGAAAGTCTTGTCGCAGTGTCTGCACTTGTATGGTTTTTCTCCAGTGTGAATACGTGTGTGGATTCTCAGATATTGCCTCAAGGTGAATGTTTTCCCACACTGGTCACATCCGTGTGATTTCTCTCCAGTGTGCATAACAACATGCCTTCTAAGGTTAGATGATGAAGAGAAAACTTTACCGCACTGCTCACAGGAGAAAATCATTTCTTTTGTGTGGATGTTCTTGTGCACCTTTAAATAATATAGTCGAGTGAAACTCCTTCCACACTCCTCACAGCTGAACGGTTTCACTCCAGTGTGGATGCGCTGGTGATAGACAAGACTGGAAAGCCATGAAAAACTTTTCCCACACTCACCGCAGCTGTAGGGTTTTTCTCCTGTGTGAACCCTCTGATGACTCTTTAATTCTCCTCGGGTCACAAACCCTTTGTCACATTGCTGACAATGGTGCGGTCTCTCTCCAGTGTGATACCGTTGAATGTGAGTCGATAAGTTTCCCAATGAGATAAATTCACTGCCGCACTCCTCACACATATGTGATTTCTCGACACTGTGCGTTTTCTTATGAACATTTAGCGTGCTTACTGTTTTGTATGTTTTCTCACACTGATCACAGCTGTACAGTCTTTCTTCAGTGTGACTTTTTTGATGACTCCTGAGTTGCTTCAGGTTGTGGAAAGCCTTCTCACATTGCTGACATCTGTGTTTTTTCCGCATTTCTTTGCCCATCTTGTCCTAATTCAACAGAAAAAGACAAACAGATTATAACTGTACTGGCAACATGGTGACACTTCCAGAAGTCAGCAGGGCTCTAGACTTTTTGCACCATTGGCGGAGCGGGGGGGTGACTTACTGGGCTTAAGCCCGGGTTGTTTTTTCAGAAGCCCGGGGTCTTTTGGAGTGTAATTTTTTCATAGATGTCTGACTGACAACTGTATGAAACAAAAACTACACACAATATTCGAAGCACACAGTGCATAGTGTGGGAATTTACAACTGTGCGTAAATTCCCCATAATTTTGGTACGATCCGAGCTCAGACACTGGCCGACTGAGCACAGCACTTATGAATGTGAGTGAGGGGGGAGAAGCTGCTGCGAGTTTGCTGTAGGAGAAGCGCAGACAGGCAGACGGAGGAGAGCTTAAGTTTGACCAGGTACCAAAGCAAATCATTCGTACTGTACAAATAATGTAAATATGACGGTGTATCACGAAAGATTGATGTCAAACTGATCACTTGACCCATATTATGTTACCTGCTCTTCGAGTGAATCAACAAAAAGCCGAACAACAACAATGCTGTTTCTTTAGAGTCTTAGCTTACATGTGTTTCATATTTTCAGTTGTTTCCCTCCACGGCTAAACAAACTCTCTAAATCGGTTTCAGTTGTGTACTGATGAACACAACAATGGACATAAGG